TTCTATAAGCCGAGGCCTAAACAATATTTCCAGGCTGGTCGGTCTTGTGTGCAGCTCTTCCAATTTGAAATACCATATTCCGAAATGTTGTCTTCCACTTGATCTTTCCATCGAATTTGTGGTCTTCCCCTTCTGCGTGAACAATCGGTTGGCTCGCTGTTATATACCTTTTGAGCTGGGGCACCCTCATCCTTCTCACAACATGGCCTTGCCAACATAATCGCGACAGCTCGATACGTCTGACTATGTCGATGGTCCAATCGACGGCGATATTCACCGTCGACACAGATCGGCCCATAGATCTTTCATATAATTTTTCTCTCAAACACTCCAAGAGCTGCTTCATGTGCTTGCACAAGTACTCATGCTTCAGATCCATATAACAGCACGGGCAGTATCAGCGTCTTGTAAAGTGTGAGTTTAATCTGGCGTGATGTGACTTTGATCCTAAATTGCTTACTCAGACCATAGTAGCAGGTGTTGGCCAACACTTTTCTTCTCCGGATTTAAAATCGACCACTACCTCATTGATGATACACCGCGTTGATACCGCAATTTACTGCCAGGCCCACTTTGGCAGTCTCCTTCTCAATTTATTCAAATATGGCTGTTAACGATCTCAATGTTCGACCCATTATGTCGATGTCATTGGCGTAGGGGAATAACATGTACTGTTCGTATGTACTGCATCTCGTATGACATTTTCCAGCAGGATGTTGAAAAGGTCATACGATAGGCTGTCACCTTTTCCGAAACCTCGTTCGGTATTAAAGCGCTCCGAGAGATCTTTTCCGACTTTAACTGCTGGCCTTGTGCCAGTTAAAGTTTCCCCGGCATAGCCGCCTTGTCCGAGCCCTTGTTTGGTATTAAAGCGCTCAAGAGATCCTTTCCGACTTTAACTGCTACAGTTATCCTGCATAGCCACATTCGTTTTACAGGAATTCCAAACGTAGATAGGGCTGTCGAATGTGGCTTTATAGTCGACGAATAGGTGGAATGTGTCGATAATGGAACACAGAACAGAGATCTCCTATATATAAAAAACTTTAGAATGACTTCTATAAATGGAAAAACTATCGAAGGCTTTTGATAAATAAGTGACCCTTTAGATGTCTCGTATAAAAATATAACTGGAATACACTTCAGTGACCATATGCAGATAGAAGATATTACAGAGGTCTTATTTATATTTAAGGTCCTTCCGAAACGTTTTATAGATAATATACTGAAGATATATTCTCTTCTATAGCGAGAAGAGCCTTTCTGAGGCATTCTGTAGATAGAATCTTCTTCTCAAATAGTAGACCCTTTAAAGAACTCCTATAACTATAACACCAAGCGAAGGTCTTGAATAAATTGAAGAACTCTCGGATGTCTTCTATAAATGGAAAAACTATCGGTGATTTTTTGTAAATTATTGGACCTTGTTTAAATGGATATTTTACCTATGCATTCACTTAAAATACTGTCTTTAGATAGACGACTTTACAGAGGTATTGTTTACTTTAAGGGCCATTCAGAGGTATTTTGTAGATAAAATGCCCCACTGAGGATAGTTTAAGTTAAAGAATGTACAGTCGTATCAATCGGAGACATTTGTCGATTGTACTCATCCCGAAAAAAGGGAAAAAAACGGAGGGGAGAGTAATAGAAGTTTGTAGGGTGTATAATTGTTTGTTAATTTATCCATGTCAAGATTTTGACAAATCTTAAGAACTTTTTTGGGGTATATTCCGGAGAAGAATGCTACAGCATCAATTTCATATTTGGCAAACAGTCGATGTGTTCTGCAAACGATGGACTCCTATATAGTTGTAGTTCAATTGTTTCCAGCTCTTCCTCATCCTCACATAAACGGCAGTAATACACTTCATTTTTGTCCCATTCAAAAGTGAGTAAGTGACAGCTGTCCAGTAGTTCTTCGTCGTTAGAACTCAGGCCATATAGTTTTTTAAATCCCTAATCCAGGCTACTGCCGGCTTTTTCGCAGTAGCTCTTCCGAATTTCGACAATGAAGTATTCTATATGAGGTCCTACAGATCCCTCGGTAGACTGGGCGATTGCGAACCCTCTCCAGCAAGCTCGTCAGCTATTTCATTCCCATATATGTCGCTATGTCGTGGAACCTAACAAAAATTAACGTTCAGTCACTTCTGAATTTATAGTACACGACTTAAGAGCCTCAGGGCCGCAAGACTATAGACATATACAGTCACCGGACCTACATTGTAAGCAGTAAGTGTTTTCATTATTTCAATCGCTTTCGTGATGCTGATTGCCCCGAGTCTCAGAGCACACCTTACCTTCTGGAATTTAACTGAAACATCCAATGATTGGAGATTTTAAATACATTCAAGACAGTTTGCGGCGTCCTTCTGAGTGCTCCAGTTATTAGGATTATCGCTGTACGCTACTCATTTTGTCCAGTTAGCCTCCTGCCACCAAACAAGGCTACCACAGTTAAGTATGGTGAAGACAAACATTGTACGATCTCGAGTTTTTGTCCCCAACTTTTACTTATGGAGTTCTTGCAAAAGTAGAGTGCCGTTTAAATCTGCTTAGTTCGCTCTTCAACATTCCTTTTCCACGTAAGCTAGGGGTCAAGGACTGTCGCAAGGTATTTTGCTTCTAAGGAAAGGTTTATGGTTACTCCACTCAAAGATTGCAGACAGAAGTTTGGGACCTTACGTCTCTTTCCTTTCCTGATTCCTGATATGGTTACTCCACTCAAAGATTGCAGACAGAAGTTTGGGACCTTACGTCTCTTTCCTTTCCTGATTCCTGATATGGTTACTCCACTCAAAGATTGCAGACAGAAGTTTGGGACCTTACGTCTCTTTCCTTTCCTGACGATTTTACATAGAATCTACTTTTCTAATATTAGAGCCTTCAGAGGCTAAATGCTAAAGTCTTAAATTAAAAAAAAAATAAAACTTTTGTTGATTTTCTATAAATAAGTGGCCCTTGGCCCCGCTGAGGTCTTCTGTAAATGGAAACTTCTTATACAAATATTAAAACATTCAAATGTCTCCTACAAATACAATAGCATGAACAGATCTTTTATACATATAGTATACCCATTGGATGTCGTCTACGAATAAAAGGACTATAAAAGGAACTCTTTAAATAAGAGATCCTTCAAAGATCTAATAAATAAATAGATACCTCTTCAGAAGTCCCTTATAGATACGATTGATGCCTTTCATATGTATATGTTGGAACCTTACAGATCTTTAATACATTTTTTACCTTCCATGGGTCTTCCAGAGATCGACAACTTATTGAACAGATCGTGTAGCTGTGTAGAATTCTTTACGGAGTTTATATACTTCTCCACTGACGTATATTACATATATATACGTAAGAGGACTTCAGGCTTGGCCTGTTAAGTTGGCTTATTTTATTGTAAAAGAAAAAAGGAGGACGACGTCCAAAATCAATTTTATTTATTTATTTTTTGACTCTGATATTCCTTTATAAATTGACATTATTATTAGAAATGTAGTGTCTCCAGGTCTACTATTTACAAAAAGCCCTACATATATATGCCTTCTGTTCGATATAGACTCGCATTTTAACGTAGCGGATATTTTGAAATTTAATCATCCCTCGGAACGACCTAGTTCAAAGGAACTATTTCGCAAAAGAAACTAGTTCCTACTACACTAGTTGGTACTAGTTCCGGTCATTTAGCTCCTTTTGATCCTTCTGTATCTTCAATCCAATAAAAAATTCAACTAAGAGGAACTCTGAAACTAAATGAATGACCTAGTTCCTTTTGTGGAACAAACTGAAAATGATTGAACCCCCTCAGGAACTAACAAACATGGCTTATTGTACTAATAACCTATATTACTAATTTAAAATGGGATTAGCTATACGAAATCATCGATGTTCATACTAACGCTTACAGCAAAATCTGAACACGGCATCGATTAACAGCATACCAGATGCCATGAGCTGAGTTAGTTTACTTGGATGTAGGCATCTACAGCCTTTCAGAGCATCCATATCAGAATTTCAATGCTTCAATGACCCTGTTAATACTGATAACACGAGAATTCTAAATAAATGGAAAAGCATAGGCAATTATCGATCGGATAATCTGTCGATATATCAACTGTCTTACATACAAAGCCAACTTAACAGTCCATGCCTGAATCCTTGTATGTGTTTCCCCCCTTAATATTTTGTCCTAAATTTCAAAAACATTTCTAATTTATTTTTCCTTTTTTGTCATTTCAGGATAAATCAAACAAAAACAACACACACCGTCCGTTCAACATAAAAATGAGCCGTAACCTAAATCACAGATCCAATAGCATAACGAATTTTTGAATCCCAACCGAAATTGGTTAGCAATTTTCCAAATGAAATGAAAATATGCAAAAATCTATACAAAGGCACAAAACCGAACAGCAGCTGCCAGTTAATAACAACACAAAAACTACAACAACAATAGTAAATGCAAACGAAACCGATCAGCAGCACCACCACCAACACCAAACAGCCTGAGCAGTTCGCAAAAATTCCAACATTCCGCCGTTAACAAAATTCTTAGCTGTTACTTCTAAAACTAAGTTGTCTGACTATTTTGGCCAGTTAACGTTTCGTTTTTTTTGTTCCGTTCTTTTCTGGTTCTTTGTTTAGTTCATTCGGTTTCAGTTTTTTTTTTTGCTCTCTGTTAACTTCATCTCCCATTTATTGTTGGCCATTACAGAAAAGCAAAAACTTGTTTATTTCCTCTTAGCGAATTTGTAGACAAGTTTAGCGACCAACCAAGTAACAGCCAAGAAATAAATTCTACAAGACTTGCAAAAAAAAAACAAACTACGAGACAACAACAAGACAAAGGAAATAAAAACGAAACTCCAGTTCAAGTGAAAAAAAAATCCCCCAGAAGAAGTTAAAAAAAAGTCGGCGAAGAAAAAACCAAGGGATTGGCATAGGGTCAGTCAGTCGAACTAACCAACCAACCAACCAAACAAAGAACCGAAAACAAACATGACAACGTCACAGACGGACATAAACACAAATTCAAACAGTTCGACGGCTGCCGCCGGCATGGCCAACAATAATGCCGGTGGCATGAACTGTGTTGACAATGTCGGTGGTGTTGGTAGTGGTAACGGTGGTGGCGGCAACAGCACTGGTGGTGGAACCACCAACCTATCATCGATGAATATCAATAGCAATGGATCGGCCGTTGCCACCAACAGTGGTGAGTTCTGCATATTTTTTCTCGTTTCTTTATTTGGTTGTCGTAAACAAACAATTATTGATTTTTTTTCTAAACGTTGCGGGTTGGTTTTGAATGCAGTTTTTCTTATACACTGAGAGAAATTTTGTGTTTTTTTTAATTTTGAAAAAAATTAAAAAGTTTTAGAAATGAAAACTAGTTTTTCAAAGATCCAGCCGAGAAATTTTCTATGGAAAGGATATGATCCAAAGGCACTCTATATATAGAATACCTTTCAGGGACCTTCTAGAGACCGATAACCCTTCGGAAATCTGCTATAGACAAAATACCCTTCAAATATAAAACCCTTCGGGGATTTGCAAAGCTTCTGGTATCAAATAGTGACGATGGAGAAGAGATGATGGTATAGACAGTGTATACCACCTAGCCAAGATAGGGTCAGAATAGCTATCAATCGGCTGAAAAATAATAAGGCAGCCGATGGGTTCAAGCCGAACTATTCAAGACCGGCGGTCAGATGCTGATCTGGAGCATGCGCCAAAGGCACTCTATATATAGAAAACCTTTCAGGGACCTTCTATAGACCATTAACCCTTCGGAAATCTGCTATGGACAAAATATCCTTCAAATAAAAAACCCTTCGGAGATTTGCAAAGCTTCTGGTATAAAATAGTGACGATGGAGAAGAGATGACGATATAGAGTGTATACCACCTAGCCAAGATAGGGTTAGAATAGCTATCAATCGGCTGAAAAATAATAAGGCAGCCGAACTATTCAAGACCGGCGGTCAGATGCTGATCAGGAGCATGCGCCAGCTGATTAATACAATTTGGCTAGAGAAATGCATGCCCAATGATTGGAACCTCAGCATCCTGTGTCCCGTTCACAAAAAGGAAACAAATGCTGGAGAGACCCACGAAAAACACATCGACACATTCCACTTATTCATCGTCAAATAAATCCGCATTCAACAGCCCTACCGCTTAGAGGAGCTTGAAGTCATGTCTGCGTACGGCATTTTTGTAAAATTAATACTGCTATGCAGGATAACTTTAACTTCAAAGTGTGTTCACCACATTTTTAGAGGTCTCCAAATTTTTTTTTTTTTTTTTTTTTGAACATAACATCCTACCGATTTTTACTGCAGTTAGACGTCACTTCAAAGGTCTGTCATCGCTCGAAAACATAGGTGGAAAAGTAGGCCCTTCAACGGACTTTTATATGGAGAACCCTTCAGTGACGCTCAGTAGTGTCTCAAGGTTTTCTATAAACAAAATATCCTGCAGATATGCTGCCCCTTGGTTATAACGATTATTTTTTATCAGACATCGTACATATCAATTCGCCCAGTGCACATGGGGTGTTGTTTTGTAAAACGAACTAGTTCAAAGGAACTATACCACAAAATAGATAATTGGTACTACATCTGGTCCTTTCGTTTGTCTACCTAATTTTCTATCTTATTCCAAATAATGACTGATATAATATGGACTATTGAACTAAATAAATGCCCTAATTCCATTTCAGGAGAGAATAGTTTTGGGAACGATATTGTCTTTACAAACTAACAGAAGTGCCTTATTCCCACTCTCGCACATTCTAATCCTTTCCATCTGATACGACAAAAAGTCTAAACAAGCTGGAAAAGCATAGATATTTAACGGCCGGATAATCTGCCGATATATCAACAGCCTTACTTTAGGAGTGCGGCGGTTTTATATCTTTAACATACTATGACAGCTGAAGACATTTTTTTCAGATTTAGCCTGAATAAAATCTATATACCTGTTGAAATCATAATTTGAAAATTTCAGTGAACTGGACCAATTTAATTCTATCGCCTTCTGACCTATTATAGAGGCTCTATTTGAATGTCGTTTTATTGTTCTGTCCTGACTACATTTTAGTTCACTCAGGCCTACACAAGTAGCAAGAACCCTTCGCTCCCATTTTGAAATACTTTCCATATGACGAGATGTCAAACCAAACTGGAAGAGTATAGGCAAATATTGGACGAATAATCTGTCGATATATCAACAATCTTACGTCGGTTAATAGACGGCCGTGTAATGTCAAGAAACTGCTAGGGGACCTTTTTATCACTATCCAAAATATGTCTGTTGAAATCAAATTTCTGATGAAAATTAGTTACCATTTATTTCATTCTTTCCTTCATCTCCTCTATATTAAGACCAATTTTGAGGATAGGACGGTAATTTTTAAACTTGGAACATATATTTTGTCTTAAATTCTAAAACTTGGAACATATATTTTGTCTTAACGGTTATAATTATAGCCGAGCACTTTACACATTTTAACTTTAAACCCCATGCGGTTAAATACCTATATAGAACCGTCAGATAATCATTCAGCTGTGCCGCCACAGTACGAGCCAGTGAACTTGTTAACACCAGAAGCACGTCATCGGTCTAAGGTAATGCAAACTGAAAAATAATACACAATTGGCCGCCGAATAATTTTTTTGTCTTAAATCCTAAAACTTGGAACATATATTTTGTCTTAACGGTTATCTTTATTGCCGAGCAGTTTACACATTTTAACTTTAAACCCCATGCGGTTAAATACCTATATAGAACCATCAGATAATCATTCAGCTGTGCCGCCACAGTACGAGCCAGTGAACTTGTTAACACCAGAAGCACGTCATCGGTCTAAAGTAATGCAAACTGAAAAATAATACACAATTGTACGCCGAATAATTTTTTTGTCTTAAATCCTAAAACTTGGAACATATATTTTGTCTTAACGGTTATCTTTATTGCCGAGCAGTTTACACATTTTAACTTTAAACCCCATGCGGTTAAATACCTATATAGAACCATCAGATAATCATTCAGCTGTGCCGCCACAGTACGAGCCAGTGAACTTGTTAACACCAGAAGCACGTCATCGGTCTAAGGTAATGCAAACTGAAAAATAATACACAATTGTCCGCCGAATAATTTTTTTGTCTTAAATCCTAAAACTTGGAACATATATTTTGTCTTAACGGTTATCTTTATTGCCGAGCAGTTTACACATTTTAACTTTAAATACCATGCGGTTAAGTACCTATATAGAACCGTCAGATAATCATTCAGCTGTGCCGCCACAGTACGAGCCAGTGAACTTGTTAACACCAGAAGCACGTCATCGGTCTAAGGTAATGCAAACTGGAAAATAATACACAATTGTCCGCCGGATAATCTGTCGATATATAACATCCGTACTTCGTGATTTAGACAGCCGGGCTTCTTCCACAACCTATGACAGCTGAAGAAGACCATTTTTAGCTTTACACAGAATAAATTCTATATGCCTGTATATATCAAATTTCTGATGAAAATAAATCCCCAGTTATTTTATCCTGACCTTCATTTCCCCAATATTAAGACAAATTTGTAGAACCTGTGAGTAGGTCCTAAAACTTGTAGAAGTGTATATATTGTGTCTTGCCTGTTATCATCATAGCCGAGCAATTTTCACCGTTTAACTTTGAAAACCATAAGGTGAAATACCTATAGATAACCGCTTAATAATTATTTATCTATGCGCCCACAGTACGAGCCAGTGGGCTTGTTAACGCCAAAAGCACTACATCGGCTTAAGGTAATGCAAACGGGAAACAAATACGCAACTGTCGGCCGAATAATCTGTCGATATTTAAAATCCGTATTTCGTAAGAATAAATCTATATGCCTGTTAAAATCAAATTTCTGACGAAATATATCCCTAGTTACTTTATCCTGCCCTTCATCTCCACAATATTAAGACCAATTTGTAGGACCGGTCGGTAGGTCCTAAATCTTGGAAAATATATTGTATCTTACCCGTTACACAAAACCCCGTTAACTTTAAACCCTATAAGGTTTTGGTATTTTACCTAAATATAGTTCGGTCAGAAAATCATTCAGCTGTGCCGCCACTGTATAAGCCAGTTGTCCGGTTAACTCTAGAATGCTAAACCTCCAGGAGGACATTCAGGCATATGTAAATGTAACACGTATCACAATGATTCTTTGACAAGAGAGTCTCTCACAAAACTTCACCGTTTACAATTTATCTGTTAAGAAACAAACCACTCTATTGATTTGTTCCTGTCGCTAATTAGCGCACCAATGTCTTTGTGTGTGGACGTCTACTACATCCCTATTATCGCATAGATTTTATGACTGTTCGGAATTTTTAAATGCAAATCTTAAGAAAAAAAAAAACAAAAATTCTCTTCGAAGTATTTGAATATGTTGGAGTCTGACAAATGGAATTTATACTCAAACAATTTTGAAGACAGCTTCTATAGGCACGATATTTTGGACAACCTTCCCTTCGATCTTCAACAAGCTTTTCATAGCTGGGAAATCTCAATGGGCTCCAAAGACCCAATATGTTTCCTATCGATATAAAAAGCTCGACATATATTCTATATGTAGAAGGAAATCAACAGGTCTTCAGCTTACACTGAAAAAAGAAACATACATTTTAATTAATAACATTTAATAAACAATAACATCACAATAAAAATATATATGTTCGCACAAAAAAAATTAATAATTAATGCCCACACGGCCCATCCACAGATCTATACTGCAATCGCCATAAAAGAAAAAATGTATTTCAATTACCGCCAACAATCGACAATGTTGGCAGAAAATAAAACATTTGTTAATGCTAAATATACTTGTAAGCCATGGAATCGTACTGCAACAACAACAACCACTACAATAACATACACTTTTTATAATAAAACAATGAATTTTTGACGAAATACAACATCTAATCGGAACGATTAAGAAACTGTTTTCGTATTAGTTTTTCTGTGCGACCATGATGATGATCTTCAGTACGGCGTGCTGGATTGCGTGCCAACAATTGGTGCTCCATGCAATTGCGAAATGCGGCAGGCAAGTGAGGAAAAACACATTAATCAAAGAAGCGTATAATTTTCCAAAAAAAAAAAATAAAGACCACAACTACCTCTAAACATCGACTAAAAACTAAAATCATCATTCGCATTCGCAA